GCTGAGGCTGGCCTTGAACTTTTGATTCTCCTGCTTCAACCTCCCAAGTTGCTGGGATTACAGGCATGTGCCACCATACCTGGCTCTTTCCTACCTTTTTACATCTAGCTTTTATATATCCTTTTGTATCCTTATGTTTATATCTCTTACAAACCACATAAGTTGGATTTTAACTAATTTGCCAATATTTGTATTCTAACCCATTTGTATTTAAATCACACACACACACACACACACACACACACACAAAAGGGAACCAGAAGGAAGTGAGTGCAATATGTTGCACACAGTTTGCCCTGGGATTATATGATTATGACTGATTATGAGTAGCCCATATGCAGGGCAAGAGACCAAGAAACAAGTAAAAAAAATTTTGCCTCAAATAAGCAATAAAGAAGGTAGCTTCAAATAAGTCTCAAATAATGAAACCTAAGACCCCCCCAACTCCCCACAAGGGAGACAAAAATGAATCAAGAAAGAATGGCCCTGGTTAATGCAGCAAAGTTTCTGTTTACTCCATATACTCTTGAATAATTTCTAGTCCCAAGAATAATTTCTATTCTCAAGTATATCAAGATGATCCACTAATGTTCCATTTGTCTATCAAAGACAAGTAACACCTCTGTGGAAGGCTATAAAGTCATCCCCAGGGCTTTCTATATATCATCTCAGCATCCATACTAAATATGTAAGAACAGCATCAAATGACAAAATTCAAGGAAACAGGTAACAGAAATAGACCCACAGGCTATCTAGATCCTAAAAGGAAGAGACACATGCTTTAGAATAACTATGGCTAATACATTCATGAAAATAGAAAAAAATGCTAAAATGCACCATAAAATTAGAATCTACTAGAAAAGAATCAAATGGAAATTCTAGAACTGAAAATTAAATAAAAGAATTCAACAAATAAATTTGATAGTTGATTCAACCCAACTAAAAATAGAAAAAGTCAAATGAAAGATCAGTAGACAATAACTAGATTGAAGACCTGAAAGGAAAAATAATGAGAATGAAAATATAGAAAAGTGTGTAGAAAAAAAGAGATAGGTAGCATAGTGAAAAGTCTAACAAGCATGCAATTGAAATTTCAGAGTCCAAGGGGAGAAGAAATTGGTCTGAACCATTATTTGAAGACATATTGGTTGCATATTTTCTAAAATAAGTGAAAGGCATCAAGCCAGAAATTGAAAACCTCTACAAACCCCATGCAAAATCAATACAAAGAAAACTATCAATATGTATTCACAGAAAAAGTAGCTGAAAATCTTAAAAATAACTGGAGGGTGAGTGATGGCAATAGAGCAGCAGTAAGAGTGATAGCTGACATTTCAGGAGAAAATAATGGAACCAGAGGACAATGGAATGACACTTTTAAAATTCTGAAAAAAAATTAAAAAAAAAAACTTAGAATTTAATATCCACTGGAAATACAGGTATTCATAAGGCAGGCTAAATGAAGACCAAATAATGATACATTTATACAAATAAAACCTGACAGAATAAATTGCAATACTATTAGGACCTCTTGAGGAAAAAGAAAAATTATTGAGATAAATGCAAGAAGAATGAAGAGCACCAGAAAAGGTAAAAAAAAATTATAAAGGGATAAATATAAATATATTTTGACTGACTGCCTAACACAACAATAATGCCCTATAATGTAAAAAATACTTGGAGAACTAAATTACATGTCAATATGATTACAAAAGGGCAGAAGCTCAATGGAATTGAAATGTTATAATGCCATAGCACTGACAAAAAAAAAAGAAAAGAAAAGAAAAATTAGTGCTATGAGATTAAGTTTATGGAATCACAATGATGACCAAAACAATGGTGACCAGTTTCCCCTGGACAGTGGTGAGTTTGGGGATGACCTCAATGGACTTTTCTTCTCTCCAAATACTGGCCTTTCAGTTCTTATGCCTTGGTTGCTGTTGGGAGCCTTCAAAACCTTTTCATTTATTTTTTTAAAATATAACTGTTATAGTTGTTCTTAGCAGAAGAATTAGTCCAGTACAAGCTATTCTTCCATTCTGAAGTGGAGGTGTATCTCATTTAATTTTTATAATATCGTCATAAATAAGTACTGCTAGTTTATTTTAGAATATGAAATATTATATGAACAGGCTTTAAGATATGATTTTGAGATTTGATTCTCAGTTGGCCACTGACCAAAATGTAAGATCTTGGTCAAGTTTAACCTCTTTTTTCTTTTTTAATCAATGTCTGGTTAAATGAAGTGGGGAAAACCTTGAAAGATAAGATGATTCAAGTTTTATTTAAACTATTCCCAAACTTAGTAAAAGGAAAACTGTCAAATTCATAGTAAAAAGCTAGTATCATTGAAATTCCTAATCTGAAAAAAGATACACAACTGTAGTTTATGAATATAAATATAAAATATGTAAACCAAACAATGTAAAAACATATGAAAAACCTATCAAACAGATCCAGGAGCACATTTTGAAAAGTATATCCTGACTCAGAAGCTAAGTTCAGAAATACGGAGATGGTGGAACATTATGAAATCCACTGTATAAGTAATCATGTTAATAGAGCTAAGAAGAAACTCATGTGATCATCTCCATAAATGCAGAAAAGCACTTGATAAGATTCAGCACATATTTTGATTTATTTTTATTCAACAAATGTGTATTAAGCATCTGCTCTATTATAGCACTGAGGATACAAGAGTAAAAAAGATACTGGCTCCATCCCAGCTCTCATTCCAGTGAGGGAAAGAGTCAATAAATAAATGAGTAAAGGAACAAGCTATTTTTAGGTAGAACATACATTTATTTTAAAAACTCAATAAAATGCATATTGACTTCATTAATAAAATAAACATAACTCAGGCCAAAATACTGCATTTTACTTAATAGGGAATAATGAGATTTTCTTCCTAATGTTGGAAAGAAGATAAAAATGCTCACCATGTTCACAACATTTAACATTAGAGTGAAGAATTGGTTAAGGCAATAAGACAAGAGAAAGCAATGAAAAGTATAGGAATCAGAAAGAGAGAGAGATCAGATCATGCTCTTTGTAGAGTAAATATACAAATAGGAACCCCCCCCCCCCTCAAAGAATCAATGGAAAATCTATTAAGAACAATAAAAAATTAAGTGGTTATAAAATAAAAATAAAAATTAATTGCCATCATTTATACAAACAAAAACCAGTTAGAAGATGTACTGGAGGACAAGATTCTATTTATGATGACAAAAGATATACACAAAAGACATATTCAATATATACACAAGGAAAATTATAAAACACTCCTTGATATTATTTTAAAGAACTAAAATCAGTATACTATGGTGATACAGCCACATCAATGTTTATAGCAGCTCAATTCACAATAGCCAAACTATGGAATCAACGTAAGTGCCCTTCATCAGATGAATGGATAATGAAAATGTGATATAGATACACAGTGGGGTTTTTCTCAGCCATAAAGAAGAATGAAATTATGGCATTTGCTGGAAAATGGATGGAACTGGAGAACATCATGTTATGTGAGATAAGCCGGACTCAGAAAGTAGAGGATGAAGGTTTTCTTCTATATGCCGAAACTAGACCAAAATAAAGGGGGAAAGGGGGAGGGGAACAGCATTCTGGGGTTAATTTGGTTCCTTGGGCTATGTGAAGAGCTGCCAGCCCGTCACATGGGTCCTCCTTTAGTCTCCACTCAGGATTTTCACGCATTAGAGAGGTGCATTCAGGGAATATAATTTGGGGGGAAGTCACTCTTCAATGCCTCCTCAGTTTCATCTCTAAGGTTGCCTCCCTCTCCTGACCACAAGAAGATGTTAGGCAAGAATGCAAAGGCCTGAGAGACAATGCTACTAGCTTGAAAGTCACCAATGCAGAAGGATCTTGGTTGCAAAGGTGAGAAGGTAGCTGGTTTTGCTTCTGTGGCCAGCATGTACTTTCAACTTATTCTCAACCTTAAACTTTTTATCCTAAGCTGGCCATTTGTGATACTTTTTGTTAATGAGGAAAACACAGCATACATTTCCAGCCTTTCCCCCTCATTACTTCTCACTGGGGCATTTTCTGCATCCTGAGCTACCCTGCATTATCCCACCACCTTCTCTTTTCTCCTGCTCTTTTCTCTTCCTAGTATACTGTCCCTCCCATATTCCTGTCTGAAAACCTGCCCATTCTTTAGTGCTATTTTCAAAGGTTCTTTAAAAAGCACTTTTACTTATGTTTCCAGCTGAATGTGAAATACTGGTATTTATCATGGCAAATCACCCTTTGATTTCTCAGTAATTTGTATTTCTTCTGTAGTTCCCTGTTCAACTGTGAATATTAATGCAGAGACTCTGTTGTACCTGGGTAATTCTGAAACAGTTTGCTTATTGCACTGCACATAGCTGGCAACAAAAAGATGAGACTGAATTAGGCAAATCTCAGGGCTCAATTCAGTCCAGTGGCATGGACTGCCTCTCTAAGTTGTCCATAAGATCCAGCCATTGGAAACTATGAATTGGGTATAATCAGTTACCCGATGAGTCAGTGACCCATATGGAAACACTGGTGATCTTTGCCGTGACGCCACAAATTAGAACCTGCTTCTGGTTAGATAATCTTGGATCCTAAAGTACCTACAGACCAGCAGAGAGGTGGTACATCAACCTGGAACAGTATCTGTGTTAACACTTAGGACCAGTCCAGATTCCACAGAAGGAAGAGTCTGAAAATTAACTGTGCTTATTAAAAATTGCATGATTAAATGTGTATATATAATTTATTAATTTATATGTATTTGTGTAAGCCCCCATGGCAACAAGTTGTTTACATTTGTAGATGTGTGTGTGTGTGTGTGTGTATTGTGTGAAATAAGTAGACCCAACATTGCTGCATGTCACATTCTTTCTAGCCTGTTCACCTTTTTGTGAATATGTGACTAACAAGAGGTGAGGTATTTTCAAGAATCTATAAATATAAATTATTCTTCAAAAACACAAGTCTTTCTTTTCTTTCAGGAATCAAGAAGCTTTGAAGTCACAAGAAGAGAAGGTAGGGGAAATGCACTTATATCCATTTTACTCTCAGTGTTGACAGTTGGGAAGTAGTTTGCTGAAACTAAGATGCACTCAGACTATGGACAGCCCTTTCTTTGAAATTTCATGTGGCGTTTTCTGGGAGCTGAATGCTTAGCATTCGGCTCCAAGGACTCAAGACTGCAGGACAGGTTTGCCTGTGAGAACTATGGCTTCCATCTTCAAGTATCCAAGGTGGGGCCTGGGGAACTGGCTCACTACTGAGCGTGACCATGGTCTCTTAAGATAAGCCTTGTTTTTGCATTTAATTTGAAGTCATTATTTGGATTCACAGAGCAAAATCAATGTCAATAACAGCAAAAATTGGTTTATAGTTTGAGGTATTTCAATATCTGGAAAGAGACACCACTGTGAAAAATATTTATGATTAGATTTTTACGGCTTCAGCTCAACTTAAGTAGAAATAACCAATTAATTTTCCCTTTGAAAACGATTTCACAATGTTCTATTTTCCTTACCGACATTCCTCCCGCACGTTTGTTTTCTGGTCTCTAAGGTAAGCATATATGGGTGGTAATTTCAGAAATCTTTTAGTGGAAATAGAAATTTCCCTTATTCACTTTCAGTAATAGTCCCTATTAAGAGGATGCCTTTTGTGTGATTTGTGGAATCATTAACGATCATCTCCTTTTTGTAGGGAGTGAGTTCTTGGTCAGGAGTGTGGCCTTTGGTTTTCCGGTCATCGCATCCTTCTTGGTGTTACTGTCTCCAATAAGAGTGACAGAATTTAAAAAATATTAGCGGATTCCATATTTACTCCTAAATCTAGCACACACTCACTGACTGGTTAGTTCCTATGTTAGGCAGCCCAGTGAGGCTGGTCACGTTGTCAACATGTCTTTCTAGAGCTTGAGAACATAAACTTGCAGTATTATTTATATTGGGCTCAATGGGTTGCTGCTGTCCATGATGCTGAAATCCCAAATCTGAAGGATATGAGTAACCTAACACTACAATTAACTTCCCGTCTCCCATTCCCGTTTGCCATTGTCTTTGGTTTTGGACCCAATGTCCGCTGAATCGTATCCATAGGACAAACTGCATTGTGTGGCTATCCATACCAAGTGAAACTGGATGAAGGTGGATGGGACAGGGAAGGATATTTTCACTGAAAGTTGTGTTCATGAGGGAACAGTGACCATGTAAATTGGAGAAAAATAGCCTGAAAGAGAGAAGTTGACATGAACTTTGGTTTTGAATAATATGCTATTCATGTCAGAACCCCTGAGCATGAATGTTTGGAATTAATTTGCATTAAGGAATCACATATACACTTAACCTTTTGGGAATCTTACTGGAAACATGTCTAATAAAGCTGTGCTTGTGGAAGAATCATATATATTTTCACTCAAAGGTTTAAAATGTCCTGATTTGAACTTATGACTTCAAATCCCCAGAAGAATGAGATTGTCCAAAGGCACCATCAGTCTGTGCTGTCCTTACCTACAACTTCTTACTCTTTTGGAAGCATCAGCTTTTGCAGCTAGCTGACTGGGAACATATGCTTTGGGTTTGTACTAGCAAATTTGTCCTGACATATAAATTTCTTCCTTCCTATTATGAGCTAATGTCATTCTAGCTTGTCAAAGTTGAGTGTTTAAGAGTTCCTGAAAATAGTTCAATGGTTTGATGTCAATGCTTACAACCTGGTAGGAAGGAAGGAAGGAAGGAAGGAAGGAAGGAAGGAAGGAAGGAAGGAAGGGTGGGTAGGACCCTGCAGGTTGGTTCCAAATATTTTGGGGTCTGACAATTCACTGACACATGTTGTAGAGTTAATATCCAGAATAGTGTATGAGTACAAAAATGATAGAAGCACTGTGAATATTTCAGTAAATGATTAATCCTACAAATAGAAATAGATCATTATTATCTGGCAACATGCACTTCAGAGTGGTTGCTGGCTCTGACTTGACCTGAAACAGAAGGAGGAGCAGGTAACTAAAGCCCAGTTCACCAGGCCTAGGAGAGTCCCCAGAAGTCCAGAGAGCAGCCAGGTCTGGAGAGGCAGCCTCCTGAGTAACTCCTGACTCAGGATAAACACTCCATTTGGGGTTTAGCATCACAAATGGGTGGCGCATTACAACTTCCCACTGTATGACTTTTGGAAACTCTTGACAGTCTATGGAAATGGACTTTGGGGTGAAGTGAGTGCCCCGTGTGCCTCGGACCTGCTCTCTGCCTTATTTCCCTTTCTTTCCTCCCAGCCTTAGGTGCATCCACAGATCATAAACCTAACCTTCTTGCCTCTGACTTTAAACTGTTCCCACAGCCTCCATGCTTTGTCCTCCATCTCAAATCCACTCTCCTTCAATCCTGCCAACTCTTTCTTGAAGTATGTGGTTTCCCCTAGTTCTTAGATGTAAGGGCTCCTATCCAGTTACTCATTGCCTAGAAGCAAAAACCTTCCTCTCCATCATCCCCATGTTCCTTATGGCGCCAGCCCAGAGCCAGCAATGCTCAGAAATTGTTTCTTGACTTCAGCACAAGCTACCCATCTTCATTGTCTGTGTAGTCTTTTCATCCTGGGCCTATCATGGTGAGATACAAGAGAGGCACTGAGATCTTTGGTTCTCAAAAGGTACTTTTGAAGACCTTTCTGTGGATATGTTAGATATTCCTGGCTGAGGCACTGATGAAGTGCTTTGTGTCCAAATAAGCTTGGTATTATAGGATGTCCTCCGAAAGATATGTTGAAGTCCTAACCTAGAACTTGTGAATGTGACTTTATTTGGAATTAGGTTTTTAGCAGATGTTACCAAGTTAAGATGAAGTCTGACTGGATTAGGATGGGCTCTAATCCAATGAGTTCATCCTTAAAAGAAGAGGGAACTTTAGACACAGGCACATTGGAGAATGCCACATGATGATAGAGAGAGTGGATTATGGGCCACCGTCAGAAGCTAGGAAGAGGCAAGGAAGGATTATCCCCTAAAGCCTTCAGAGAGGGAGTGAGAGTATGGCCCTGTCACCCCTGATTTTGGACTTCCAGTTTCCAGAACTATGAGAAGATAAATTTTTGCCATTTAAGCCAACTGGTCTGTGAAACTTTATTATAGCAGCCCGAGGATACTGATATACTTGGAAAATATTGGATTCAATAAACTTAAAAGTTCATTTTTGGTCATTGCTTCAATGATGTTTTTTGCTGCAGAATCTCTCCTGGTTTTTCATATATTAAGTATGACTCTCAACAGGGAATTCAACAAAATGGACTTGGTTGGCTTTGGTGCTCAGGGATGGCATTCCATGCATTACCCTTTGCAAACCCTGGAAGATGGAGAGCTTCCTCAGAGTACCCAGGCACCTGAGAAGATTGTATTCCAGAGACTGAGTCTGCACAGAATTGTGAGGTGGCAACAAGGATACTCACTAAGTTATTATGAAGTTTTTAGAGAGCTCTCACCTTCTTTATCTCTCTTGACCTTCAGTGCCCCATGACACAAGCAGAGATCACCTAATGCACAGAATACTCCCCTTCCTTTCCATGTGGACTCTTAGTAGAGATAAGAACTCCCTCTGGGATGATGCCCCTCTGGCACCCTGGACTTCACTCTCATGGGTGGCAGTTGCTTAAATCCCCTGATCCTGCTTCATCACATCCAAGCCTAAAGAGTCAGAGAACCCTCAAAAGAAAGTCTAAGGGCTTTGTAGTCAAGTTAGATTTGACCTCTCTCTCTCTTGGGAACATCAAGGGAGATCTAGTAGCAGAGATAAGGGAAGGGCTACAAGACCAATAGGGTGTCTCCTGGCAGGGTCACATGCATCCTCAGAAGAGAAGGCCATGGCTTCACTTGAAGAGTCTTGTATTCCCCTCCACCCTCATGCCCAGGATCTGCACAGGAGGAGCTATGGTGGCGGCTGTATCTTTTCTGCTTTTCAGTTTAGGTATTTCTAAACCTCTATTCAAACACCTAAAATTTAATTTCAACCTTTTTTGAAGCTTCAGCAAGAGGTGCCAACCTTCCCTCTCCAAGACACTCGCTTTCCACTCTGAGGGCCCGTGCGGAGTGTGACTGCCGGGAGTCATCTACTCACACCAGCACTTTTCTCTGACTGATCCCATCACGTTGAATTACAGCCATGAGAGAACACTTGAGTGAGCTGAGCAAGTGGTTGGGATAATTCAGCCCTTGTCAGCCATCTCAGAGGAGCAGGGGGTGTGTGTTAGCTCCTCCAGATGTGGGTGATTGTGCTGTGATTAGAGGGTGCGAGTTTTAGGATGGGCACCAATGTCACATTGCATTATTTACCCTCCCAAGGATGGCTCACTCGCTCTGGGTTCCAGCCCAGCCCAGGTCAGCCTGGCCTGCTTTCCAGCAAGTCTCTGAGGGAGACTGGGAGAGGAAGTCTTCTGGGAAAAGGAAAGAAGGGAGTGACAGTCACACACACACACACACACACACACACACACACACACAGCGCTTGAGTGTCTCTGGTTGCTGGGGCTGCTTAGCAATGCAAATCAAAGTAAACATAACCTGCCAGTCCTCAGTGGGAAGCCAGAGTCTCACTTTCTGAAAACCTTGGAATTAGTCCCTATCTGGCAGCTGCCTCTAATGGCCCCTTTATAGTTCCCTGCATCTGGGTGAACTTCAGCTATCAAGAACTGCATCATGTTTACCATTAATTTTGATTTTGTTTAGCAGATGTTTTCTGGATCTCTCTGTTGCCTGCATAATCCATCTCAGTATAATGTGAAGTGGCTGACTCTTTGGATGAAACAGATTAATAAACTCTTCGGTTCTTTTGAGGTAACTTCTTTAATGACTGCAGATGTAGGAAATTTAAAAGGAAGCCATCCAGAGTTGACAGTGCCTGGGGCAGTGGGTCTTTTTCAACTCAAGACTTCCATCTGGGGAAAGAGATGGAGTTTCCCTCCCCGTTCCACCCTCACTCCTAACAGTAGAGTTCATTAGTCACTGGGCTAATGAAGTTGAGAGTGATCTATCTGTGCAC